CTTCTTTTCTACAAGTAGGATATGTTTGTCCAGCTTCTGTGTTTTGACTTGTTGCATTTTAGTTACAGTTCATTAGCACTGCACTGCAAATAAACTTTTCAATCGTGTCCTTTCACTCCATTTCCCCCCCTTTAGAAGCTGACCAACGTTCGTATAATGAAGGAGAACATGAGAACTGGAAACCTTCCTGCCAACATGAAGAAGAACCGCGTGCTTCAGATCATACCGTGTAAGGACTGCTCCGATACTCTGAACACTTCCATAATACATCACATCCAAGTAACATCAAAGTATCACACTGCTGCTGATTTTATGGATGCCATACACAGATATCTGGCTAATCAGTCCATGTCTGTGTGATCAATGGCATTTAAATATGGCTTGTATCTTGACTTAAAGTTGGACAGGGAAGCCTGGGTACAACTTTTTTACAGAGAAAACTGATACAGGCTGTGGCGTGTTTGGCCTTAATAACACAGCTAAAGTTTTACTTAGCTGTTATTTTTTCCATCAGCCTCTTCAAACTTTTATTTTATTAGGAATCACTTGTGGAAAGTTTCATTTTCCCTTTTTTCTTTTGCAGATGATTTCAACCGAGTAATACTCTCAGTGAAAAGAGGACAGGAGTTCACCGACTACATCAATGCCTCCTTTATTGATGTAAGCACTCCCTCACGACCTCCTGTATAGATTTCCCATAGAAGTATATATAAAGCTCATTGTTTCCTTTACAAACAATGCAAAATATTATGTTTGCTGCACTCTCAAGTGTTGTTTACCGGATGATCTGCCCTCCAGGGCTACAGGCAGAAGGACTATTTTATCGCAACCCAGGGCCCACTGTCTCACACAGTGGAGGACTTCTGGAGGATGGTGTGGGAGTGGAGGTGTCATTCAATCGTTATGCTCACCGAACTCAAAGAGAGGGAGCAGGTACAGTATGGTGCTCTTGTAAAAGCGCAGGCTGAGAAGTGGAGTTGCACATTTAAATCTTTTTTGTTTCCACTATTTCATTTTCTGATTTCACTTATTTCTCATCCTTGACAGTCTGTGTATGTATTCAATGGATTTATATTGCTTTTGTGGTGCACACTGAAAGTATAAAAACAAAAATAGGACATAAATCAGTCAAAAGAAGCCTAATTGTATTTCCATCTGACCTTACCAAACAGGAGAAGTGTTACCAGTATTGGCCATCAGAGGGCAGTGTAACATTTGGAGATTATACTGTGGAGCTGACTGGAGATACACAGTGTGAAACCTTCACTCTCAAAGACATGGTGCTCACCTACAGACCAGTGCGTATATTTTATTATAACATTAAAAACCTTTAGAATATAGAATTTAAATTGACATATTTGCCTCTTTGTTTTTGTGCTTTAATTATTTTTTTTATATATCCACTATTTTATCTGTGTGAAAATAACAGTAAGCTGTCCATCTCACCAGGAAAAGCAGTCACAACACGTCCGACACTTCCACTTCCACGGATGGCCTGAGATCGGAATACCAGCCGAGGGAAGGGGGATGATTGACATTATTGCCGCTGTGCAGAGGCAGCAGCAGCAGTCTGGAAACCGTCCCATAATTGTGCACTGCAGGTGAGGAACTTCACTTGTGCATCTTCAGACGAAAAATCACGTACAGTACATCGTGTTTAATATTTCTGTCCGCTCATGCTTTTAATTCAACCAATTTCATTTTCACTGCGCTTTTATCACCTGATCACCTAAATCTCTCGGAGCGGTATTGGAAGGAATTTCATTTTTACAGATACATTTTTCTTCCCCACAAATGTCTGTTACAATAAATTCTACATTTTGCCTCAGTAGACCTGGTGTTCTATGCCTAAACCACTTATGTGATCCCTTATAAAGACTTAGCTGTGAAAGCTTTGATCAGAACCCAGCTTCAGGTGAAGTGATTCTAAAGCAGCATGCCCCTGTGGGATTGATCCAATCCACTGATTCACAGTCAATTAAAACCTCTCAAAGTGAAATCTCCTCTGACTCCCACTATGATTAATCTGATAAGATGAGCTAACGACAGGAAATGGTGTCATCACTCTCTTCTATTCCTTCATCACCACTTGTCTAAGAAGGGCTTTTTAAAGCTTTTTCTCTGCCCCTGGGAAATGGGGCTAACCCGTTGCAATCCCCAACGTCTCTCTACAGTTCTCTTCCGAAATCGCACATCACTCTCGCGCCCCGCTCCCCGTCTCTCTCTCTCTCTCTCTCGCTCTCTCTCTCTCTGTCTTCCTCTCTCCATCCCACCATCATTGTAAACATTGACTCAGTCAAACACTGAGCTTCCAAACTGATTAGTGTTAGCGTTTGGATTAGCCTCTCTTTAAGTGAGGATGATTATTAGCACTATTACACAAAGGTCACCTTTTCCCTTGCAAACTTTTTTTTCATTCAGATGGAAAAAGGATGTGCTGCTAAGATTACAAGAGTTTCATTGGAGAAGTAGTTAGTATTTCAACTTTTCTCCTTCTACTTCTGAGCTTTATGTCTAAATGTAATTCTCCTGCAACAAGTCCCACCATTTCCCATCCAGTGTGTGCATTATCTGATGTGACCGCTGATGGTTTTGTCCTTTATGTTTCAGCGCCGGTGCAGGTCGGACCGGTACCTTCATTGCCCTCAGTAACATTCTGGAGAGGGTGAAAGCTGAAGGCCTCCTGGACGTTTTTCAGACAGTCAAGAGTTTACGCATGCAGAGACCACACATGGTTCAGACTGTGGTAGGTGGAAAACGAGATAATATCAAACCTGCTGTGCAAAATCTGTCAGCTTATTCAAGTTTGTGTTGTTTGGAGCCGTTTCTGCACATATCTAACACTCCTTTTTCCCCCCTCTGCTTTTCCTTCCAGGAGCAATACGACTTCTGCTACAGAGTGGTTCAGGATTTTGTTGACATTTTCTCAGACTACGCCAATTTTAAATAATACCTGTCAGATACTGCTCTGTGTACTTCTGTCAGGTTAACTTATGCATTTTTTTCTGAATGTTGTTTTCTAAAGCAAGCTCTTTTTACATTTTGCACTTGATTACAGATCTAAAAAATAATTGTAACATACTGTATTATAATTGAAAACATCTTTGCTCCAGGAGAGTCTGCCTCTTCCAGGAATGCTTCATCTTTAACAATGTAAAATATAGAAATTAAAGTGGGTTATTAATGGGTTGGTAAAAAATAGTTTTATGTTGCCTGAGTGCAACATGGTGAGGGTGAATAAAGGAAATATTCTAAGACTGTATTCCAACTTAATCTATATAAATAATGTATATATAATCTAGTATGTATTGCTCACTACCTGAAATGCATCATTAATGTGTTGTACATGCATTCTCTTTTATTTCTGCTTTTGTTTGTGACCACGATGCCTGTGGTTTACAGTCGTCTTGTATTTTATGCTGCCCTCTGAACATGTTTGTTTGCTACGAGGAGAATAAATTGTGTGTTTGATAAGTAAGTTAAAATGATTAATGCTTTTGCTAAAACGATGTTCTGTCCGACATGTGCGAATAATATTTACGATCGACCTTTAGCTCAAACAAAAACACGAAACTCGAGCTACATTTCATTCCTGGTAGAAGCCGCAAATTACTTCACTTCTGTCTGTGAATAACTTAACAGCTGCTGCCTGTTGCAATTTTATTCAACTTCACCAACTTTCTTGTGTTGCCTGTGGCAATATTACTTAGTGGATTGGTGCCTGACGCTGCAAAATGCAATTAGCCCACATTGGAACAGGCAGAAAATAATGTATTCCTGTACGACGTGAATCCAAACCCATCATTCTTACAGATGTTTCAGAGCCAAACATTACATCCATACATTTTTATACACATCAACAAGCCAACTTTACACTTGCATGTTTGCATAAAGCAGTGCCATATTGATCAGACAGTCGCTTCTGATCATGAGAAACTTGTCACCGAGTGACACAATTTTAATATAAGCCAGATGTTTATGTTTAGTTTAATATAATAGACACATTTTTGGAGGTGTATTGTTTTTGAATGGTGGTCTCCTGTAAGGGTCATCAATTCATTGTCTGGTCAAAATGTACCATCATTTTAGTTGTAAGTGTGTAAGAAATCAAGGAGACTGCAGAAATGTGTGTTTTAATGAAAGAGCTGATAAGAAATGCAGTTAAACTTTGTCTGGGACAGTTAAAAAGCATTCAACCAGCGCTCAGCCAAAATATGAAATACGCACGCACAGGCATTTTGACATATTTTGACTACTATAGTTAGTCTTAGTTTCATATTTAAACAAGGAAACCCCAGCATTGCTGTAAAATCAAAAGCATATATTTTTGCAAGGCTTCTGCTTACTTCTTTGTAGAACAGTGAGCTCTGAAGTCTTACGTTTGGGTAAAGAACTTTCTTACTGTGTTTGTACTTCCACTCAATCGTAAGATGAGTTTACTGTATACATGACACACTGTTCATTTTGTTTATTTCCTGTACATAAATTCTTGTTGTCATTCACTGATGTTTACTGCATTGTTGAGTTAATTTTAATGTATTGCCATGCTGAAAAAACGAGACGTACTGGGCAGTGACAGTGAGGCCTTGCAGCTGATGTAACATAAATGCACAAGCATCTCGTTTCAATGATGTTTCTGCCTTTTGAATCTGTACGGATTTGAACAACTATTTGTTTGCTAAAAGCTGATTCCAATAAATTATAGATGGAGAGAAATGCCAGATTTCATCTTAATGTCGTCTTTTTTGTCTGCCCCCCTACACAGATGCGTTCGATACAAACACAATGATGTTTGTAATATATATTTCATGCTGTATGAACCCTTGTGGCGATGCCAGCATATCTGAGCACTTAGCCAGCTCCATTAGTCGTATTTTGTGTTCCATTAGCCAGTAAATGTGTCACACCTGCAGAGAGGGGATTATAATCCTGACAGCAGTCCTCTGCAACACCTATAAAAATCCCCGTCTGGCTAATGCATCACATGCAAACAAGGCAAATACAGAGGTGAGTCAGTCCTCAATGAAGTTTGTGCAGTGTTCATTAAGTTAGAATATTGCCACTCTTATTAATTACTGTCGAAAATGCTGTTTGCTAATGTCGGGCAATGCTTTATAACCTCTGGTCTGCGAGCTGTTAGAGAGGAGGCTGTGACATTATTGTTTTTATTACAAATTTGGCTTCCTCTGCAGCTCTAATGGAGGCAAGCAGCAGAGTGATGGTGCAGGTGTTGTTGTTGGCGTTGGTGGTTCAGGTCACCCTGTCCCAGCACTGGTCCTATGGATGGCTACCAGGTGGAAAGAGAAGTGTGGGAGAGCTGGAGGCAACCATCAGGGTGAGTGATTTTATTTTTATGTGGGCGAGAGTACAGTTTCAGGAAATGTGGTGTCTTTATGAAATTTGAAGCTAAATTTAACAGAAAAACTTGGTCAGTGAAGCCTCACTTTCTTTTCATACAACGCTGTAAATGTTCTGGTGGTTTCAGATTTTATACCAACCTCGGTTTCATCTTCTAAAATCTCTATTTTATTGTACTTAGATGATGGGTACAGGAGGAGTGGTGTCTCTTCCTGAAGAGCCGAGTGCCCAGACCCAAGAGAGACTTAGACCATACAATGTAGTAAGTGCTTATTATACATAATTTATCACCAATGTCTACTTCAATTGTACAATATTAATGTACACTACACCACTGTGTGCCATTGTGTTCCAAAGCAGCAATGACAATATACAAACTGCTCAATGACTGTTTTTATTTTTCCCTTTTTGCATGAGTGAATATGTGAATGCTTAATTTTATCTTTTTGAACGTTGGCAGAATGTAACGCTAATTTGCTCAGACTTGTTTGGTGTCCTACTGTGTGTGTAAATATATATAAATAAAGACTGAAACATTTGTTAGATTAAATATTCAAGCAGCAGATCAAACCGTTAACTGAGATTTTTAATTCCAATCTGTTCAGATCAATAATGATTACAGTCATTTTGAGCGAAAGAGAGGGTTGCCTAATAACTGAGGAGAAACGCGGACTGTCTTTGCATCATCATCATCATCATCATCATCACCAGTGATGGACCGTCTGAGAGAAAACTTCAACACATCATCACATTTATCACACAGGTGTCAACAACATGTGTGTCTGTAACATTTAAACCCATTAAAAATTGTAATAAAGTTTTTGAAATCTGATTAAATGATGAAATCTTTAGTTCAGTGAGATTATCAGATTGTAATTTCACTCCGTAAATCTGGTCATCAGAAGTGAAATAATGCTTTTGAAATAAAAAATGTGATTTTAGCGCCTTCAAATAGATTAAATTGCCTTTGTAAAGCAGCCACGACCTACAAGCATGACAAACTTGTGACACAACAATCTTAGCATGACAACAGCTGGTGATTAAGCCAATTTATTAGAAATCAATGACTTAATTGAATTTGTTACAGTTTTGGTAATTCCATTTTCTGCCACACCAGTCATGTGCATATGTGATGTGGAAAATTACACCAGCTGATTTTTGTGTTCCTACCTGAATGTTAATTAGCCCCCCTAAACTGAAAGACACTTTCTGCTTGTGATGTCCACAACAGCTTTCCGCTAATTAAGGGTAACCGCAGCCATCCAAAACAGAAAGAGTGTAAAACTTTTTTTTTTTTTGTACCCCCCTCCTCTCCGTACAGGAAATTGGTGTTCATTATAAAAATTGGAATTTCATATCAGGAAAGGAAAAGAATCAGCAGGGGGCATATGTTTTAAAGAGAACTCATTTTCTGGCAAAGCCCCACAGACAGAGCACCATACTAATCGCCTGGTGCATAAGGGGCTAGGATTCATGAACTGTGCTGACACCGTGGAGGCCCTGCATTGTTAGAGCGTGGTTGTAATGCACGCCAATGAACCCAAACCCGCTGGCACAACTGGGAAAAGGTGAACATTATAAAAGCACATAGAATTAAAAAGAAATTAAACCACATTCCATTGCACTTCCAGAACAATGCTTGTTCATTTGTGATACTTCACATCGTTGGTTTAATATTCATGGTTGTAATTTGCATAACACAATCATTTCCTTTGATGAGGAAAGACCTTAGAATTTTTTTTTTTTTTTTTTTTTTTTTGAGAAGTGTTATATTCTGCTTTACCTTCTTTGACAAAGTTACAGATGCAAATGTTGTCCAGGGCATTTTCTTTTGAAAGTCACTGTGAGACTTTCCATGAATTGATTTATCCTTATCTTTATGGAGTTTTCAATAATTTTGCAGCTTCCTCATAAAGGATAATTATGCTTTTATAACATTTCCCTAAAATATGGTTTTAATTCAATTTGGTATACTTGTGTGAGAATAATGAATGTTTACAGATAAAGCATAAAATCCCATAAATTCCCTTTAAATAATCCCAAAGCATTTGCTGTGAAAGCCAACTTTCTCCCTCCCAGTGTCCTCATCAAGGACCTGCCTAATTGCACGTATATCAGGACAACAAAACCTGCTGGTATCTATGTTTCCAAATTTGATTTAACCTCACTTTCTCCTTCCCAGACCCCCTGGTGGATATTCACTTTGTTTACCTCAAATTAAACTTCATATTGTTTACAGCCTCCTGGTCCCTGAACATTTTATAGCATTTTAGAATTATTTCTTTATTTATTTTTTGTAATGATTGTAGAGTTGGGATTCATTTGAATGTTTCCCTCATCTGCATGAAAATTATATAATTAACTTTTGATTAACCAGCTCAGTTGAGTTGGTTCCCCCATGCACACTGGTGAATAGTACCCACCGCATTTTAATGACTGTTTTCCAATTGAGTGGCGACCTTTTCATCAAAGAGCCACAACTGGGGCTAAACAACGGTAGAAAATAATCACGGTGAAGACAATAGCAGAGGCCGACAGGCTAGGATGTCATCCTTAAATATAACAACAAAGATGAAAGCAACCTTACTGCACGTAGTGGCTGTGGCGTGTAGCCAAGTGCTTATGCTGCTGGATGCCCCATTGTTAAAGCTGTGGAGGTCACGTCCATTGGCATATAGAGAGGGAAAGCACAGGAAGCTGAGAATGGCCCATTGTTACATGTCCTTGCTCAGAGGGAATTCCATTATGAAGGGCAATACATTTTTGATACTTTGATTTTTGTGCCATTCATTTGTTTGAAAAACAGAACATATTTGGATAATGGCTTCAGGAAAAAGGGGTCTCAGAGCACCTCCATCCAAGGCTACAGCGCTGCATTAACACACCTGCCAATCAAGCACGCCCGAGCAGATGTGCATCCTCGCACAGCCCACCATCAAATAAGCATTCTATCATATGCATAATATAGTTTTCATTTCATCACGATTATGCTCCGTGCACCATGTGTGTGTTTCCGATGGGTCATAGGAAACTTTTATTGAAGCAGAGTGTATAATAAAGTCATTTTCCAGGTGCTTGTTGTGGCTCTTATTATGAACAGAATGATAATTTCCCCTAGAGGAATCTGGCCCTGCATATCAATTGAAGTTTAGTGTGGGTCTTACTATGTTCCCGCAGGCTATAGTAGAAGGCAAAGTCATCTTCAGAGAGAGTCTAAATGTCAGGGAGGTCTTCAAACACTTTTTCTCCCAGAGCCTTACTGAAAAGGCTCTTTGGAAGTGCTATGTCTTGGAATTGATATGGTGGAGGTGAGGTAAAGAGGGACGCAGAAGGCTTAATGTAAAGCAGTTGACATGAAATTTAATTGGACAAAATATGTAAAAAAAAAAAAAAAACAGAAGAAGAAGCTAAGGAAGGGGTCACTGAAGAAATGAAAATACGACTGCTCTTATTGAGTTCTGAGGTAGAGCATTTTCTCTCAGCGCTGCTCAGTTACTGTTTTGTCATATCCTCACGTCCCCACATGGTGACACTCTTGAGCTGCCATGTTTTGAATCCGCTCCTGGCTGCCGGGTCTCTCAGCAATTCCATCACTTAAGTTTGCAGAAACTGTTATTCCTCTAAATCTAACAAAGACTTCAATCAATCATCTCTAACTCTGCAAAAAAAAAATAATTTTCCTGCACACTGACTGATGGAGTTTTTGTTTATAACAAAAAAGTATTTTGTACAATTTTGCAGCGGCACCGTACATGGCCTCAAACCAAGCTCATTATAAAATGTAGGAATTCATATAAAAGCATTTCATCTGTGGAAAGTCATGAATTTCTCAAGTGTTCTTAGTTTTGCATTTGCAAGGCGTTAATTTATTTTATTCCCTTTTTTTTTCTTATTGGTGACTGAAGTTAAAGTACAGCAAGCTATACGGTAGCATGTACAGTACAGTCGTGGATTGGCCTTCCTTCTCCTTCTTGGCTGGCAGGGAACCTTCCTGTTGTGATCCGACTTCTCTCCTTTGATCAAAGAACAGTGTTAAAGCACTGGGAGAAGGAGGAGGTATGAAATATGAATGAATACAGCTGTGTTTTGATGGATATGTCTCAAAGTATCCCAGTAAGAGACTGCTAAAGGCCAGGAAATCTGTTTGTGTTGTGGAAATAGGCTCTTCCTCGCTTGTTTCTTTACCAGCTTCATCTTGGGTAGCTTTTCACTTCATATTTTAGAGATCCTTTGTTAGGGAAGAGATCAACCCCTTATCCGTGCATTTGTAGGAAACTGTTCTAAGAGGCCCTAGTTCATATTATATATCATTAATGACACCATTTCCTTTGTTTGGTCTTGAAACCACCTTTTGAACAAAACGCGCGCCAGCCATGAGAGGAGGATATTTATTATTTTTCTAGGGTAGACCCAAAGTTCTCACAGATGGAGTGAGATCTTCTATGAGGTGATGGAGGCTTTGTCACTAGTTATGTCTGTGATTCCATTTCCTTTTCTAAAACCCCATCGGGGAGCTGTGACTCATTTTGAAGCTGGAAGTTGATACTGTGGTGTAAAACTAACGCTCCCATCTGAATTAAGAAACTATCAGAGCCCGCACAAATCTCAGATTTTTCGGAGTTAGATGAACTCATCTCTCGCATTACACTTCTTTAATAAACAACGATAATAAAAAAGATGTGCTCGTAAAAAAAAAACACAATTATTAGGAGGGATTGTAAAATGAAAATTGGTGCCTATAGATGTCTTTTACACCACATCACAGCTCCGTTGTCTTATGAAGGATCATTTATAGACTCTCTGCAGTCATTTAGGAGTATATTAACTAAGATCCAGCCTTTGGACCTGTGGCAGGACGATGTCTCTGGACTACCGGAGGTTCAAAACTTTCTGCCCAGGCTTTATTAGCCTCACTAATAGCTGGGTTTCCCAAATGCCATGGTCCACCTCTGCTGGGAGTAAGGGCTCAGATCCTGTCAGAGAGGGGTCGCACTAACCAACTGTAATCTTTAGGGTACTCCACTCCCGCTGACCTACATCTAACGCCGGTTCCATCCCCCCCGCTTACCCCCAACCGCTATCCTTTCCCTCCCCAATCTGGTCTACCCATCCCACTTCAGTTATGCCACCCTTGGCTCTCCCTCCCACGTCTTACCACCCTTGTGTGATAGTATCCCCCCACCCAGCCCGCCCCATGCCTGTTCCAGCCTCGTCCGGCTGGCCACAGCGAGGAGCATGCCTTATCCTGTGGTAACGGCAATTAGCAGTGTAAAGCAAGCTGTGGAGAAGACTGGATCCCTGTCCACGTTTCAACCCCAGATCACGAGTCTCCAGCACAACTTCAAGGCAAACCATGCAATTAGCTACAATAATGATAATGTGTTGTAGGGGAACAAAGAGAGGGTAAAACAGACTACTGGTGTGAGGGAGAGTGGGGTGCTAATAGTAGGGGGGTTATTTGAATGCTCTGGTGCAGATAGGAGACCAAATCAGACTGATTATCAAACGTATGATGAATTATATTTTTCCTCTAATTATCCATGCCTTTTATGTGTAAACCAACTGAGTGAATTTTGCATTCTAGACATCTACGGTCAGTGGTCTTTGGGCATCACACTGGGGTTACATCTTTTATTTCCGCTAAGCAACATACAAGGAGTTACTCATGTGGCTAAGCTGATGGGAAGAGGGGAGAAATGTACTGACAATTTTCTTAGTTGACTTAATTAGATACTTTCAGAAATATTTGGCAGCGGTACAGGAATGGAAAAAAGGGGAAGTATGTGGTTTGATGTTTGACTATCGCAGATGTGTTGACACAGAGTCAAAACA